TTCAAACATTTAAAAGCCATTCGATGTATCTCGATGATGACTAGCGTTGCTCAGTTTGTGCGGCGATCGGCCGAGCCGATTCTTTGTAAATAGCAGAAAAGTGAAAAGTTTTTCGTCCACGTTTTAGCCCGCAATTCTGAATCGATTTTGAAAATTCAAAAACCGTTCGAAAGATATTGGTTGGGAATCGTGCTGATTAGTTTTTGGTAGAGATCGGCCGGGCCGTTTTCTTGTAATAAAGTGCACTTTTTTTAACATGTTAAAAAAATTTTTTCGACGATTTTTATGATTTTTTTTTGACGGTAGATACCGTAGTCTTATAGATCATACTAAAATATTACGGCCCTACGACAAGTCGTTTATTTTAAAAATTTAGCGTCAAAGTTTTCAAAAATTAGTGTCGTTTTTCGGCATTTGTCAGAATTAGACCTTTCATCGACGTTTGCTCGAGAACGCCTGAACCGATTTCAGAAATTTAAAAGCCATTTGATGTATCTGAGGATTTTCGTTTGTCAGTTTTGTGCGACGATCGGCTGAGCCGTATCTTTGTAATTTGGAAAAAAGTGTTGAACTTTTCGTTCACATTTAAGCTCATTCTACCGAATCGATTTTAAAAAATCAAAAACTGTTCGAAAGATTTAGTTGGAATGATGATGATTAATTTTAGATGAAAATCTACCGAGCCGCTTTCTTGTAACTAATAGTTGAAAAAAATATTTTGCTTAATGATTACAGCTTAAATCCACAAGCTATATTTTCAATGTCTCTACTTCGTAATTTTTCCGCCGGCCAAAGCGCCACTAATGTTTATCTATCTCACTCTTTCAACAAATGACGAAACGAAAAGCTCTTCGAGTTTCCTTATCTATACATACAAACACAATGCACTCGTTAAAATTTTTCCACACATATAACATGTCTCGAAAGAAGAGTTCTTTTTTAATATCTTTTTCATTTATTTTATTTTAATTTAATATTTATTTCTTAATAATTTATAGAATAAAAAATTATTGTGAAAGACAGATCAAATTGCTTATTCTAAAGGATTAATTAAGTAATTATTTACACATTTCGGGAAGTTCTTGCAACTTGTCTTAAGGCTAAATGCACTTTCAACTAGTTTCCTTTCCCTCCCTTGTTCATTATTTCCGTTAGAATTCCACTAGCACTATTCACGTTTACATTTTCCTTTCCAAACTTCTGCTTCAATACTTTCTGGTCCTGTGTTTCGGCTTTCAGTTTTGTTTTTTTTTTCGCGTAGGTCATATATATATATAGTGTTCCAGAACTCAACGTCAAACCGAAACAGGACGATAATATTGATTGTAACGATCATGAAAAAATAAAAAAAAAAACGCCATGCACATAGTTTAAAAATTATGAGCTTTCAAGTACAACCGGTTATTGTGGTTCATTTTTATTTATTTTATTTATATAAACTTTGAATTTCTAATCGTTTCTAGGACCACGGTAAAAATACCAAAATTGCCTCAAGTTTTCAGGAATTAAGACTTTTTGTTGAACTATGAATTTAAAATTTTCAAAATTGGTCGAGTTTGAGAGGCCCTACTTTAAAAAAAAATGTACCACAGTGTATTCGCAAGTTTTATCAAAAGTTTGCGCATTTAGTCAGAATTGTCAGTTTCATAATAAAAAAAAAATTGAGTAACAAAATAAAAGCCTAAAAATAACATAATTGCTAGTGCATTTTACTCACAAATAAGTTCAAATGTTTGTTGTACGCGCAGGCTTCAAGGTACAAAAACATTTGAACTGAATGTGAGCGAAATGCGTTAGCCGTTCGTGTTATTTTTAGTTAAAAAAAAACGTAATCCTTATTGATTACTTTTACTCGTTTTTTATTACGAATCTATCGAGTATTTTAATAACTTACAATCCGCAAACTTTTGATAGAACAAAAGTTTGCGGAGGGCATCTCAAAGTCGATCTGTTTTGAAAACTTCAAATTCATAGCTCAACAAAAAGTATTAATTCTTGAAAACTTGGGCCAATTGTGTCATTATTTTCATCCGTGGTCCTAGAAATGTTATTTACGATTACGGATCCGAAACTTAAATGAAAACAAAAATTAACAACAATAAAATGGTGACATTTTTACTGAGGCCCGTGTTGCACTTACAACTCCTAATTTTTAAAATAAATGGATTTTTTTTTCTAATTTTTTATGATAGTTGCGATCAGGGCCGGTCCTGGGGTCCAAGCTCCCCCCCCCTCTATTATTAACGGTTCTCACAGTCTATCATTAAAATTATGTAAACATTTACAGTAATTTTTTAAAATACCTTTGAATATAATTTCGAATTGATATCGTAAGAGCCAAATTGTATGTATTAATCTTTACTTTCCCATCGTGTATCAGATTATTTGTTTAAAGTTAAATTTTTTATCGTATTTTAAAAATGTTGAAAGATTAGTATTTTTTTAAAATTTTTTTTGAATGATATTGGAAAAAAACTATATTGCAAATTTTATATCCGAATCTCATTCTGGCGCCCCCTAAGACGTGCGTCTACATTTTTCGCATGCATCGCATTCAATATAGGACCCGCCCTAGTTGCGATTATACAGGGTGTCAGCGGACCTTGATGACAAGCCGAAAAAAGTTCATAGTATTGACCTTAACCGTTCTGAAAAAAAAAATCTCACGTTGTTTGGAAATTATTTCATCATAGCTCTAGGTTGTACTTAAAAGCTTATGATTTCTAAACAACAATTCATTTTTTTTTTTTAATTTTTTTCCAGGATAGTTAAGGTCAATACTACAACCCCGTTTCGGCTTGACGTCAAGGTATAAGACACTCTGTATGTTATATATTTTTCTTTAAAAACTGTGAAAATACTGTTAAAAATGTTTTATTAAATTTTAATGGAATAAAATTATATAAAACTAAGTTTGCAATTAACAATATTCGAATTTTGTCAAAAATAGCTCATATTATAATTTTACATTTAACAACGAATACATTATTTAAGATTTATCAAATATTTCTTATATTTCACACACTGGCACAAATTACAATTAAAAGTCTGAATTGAATCTTTATAGATTTTTCACACATAAAAATCGACGATCTATGAAATCGATTTTATTTAAAATAAAATGATCTAATTAGCGAATTAGATTTTTACTATTAGTTAAAAATAATAACTTTTTGTAAAATGGTGTAAATGTATGTAAATAACAAAAATTGTTAATTGTCCAATACATATATTTGGCTCTATGGAAAATTACTCATGTGCGTTTTCACTCTCAATTTTGCTCATACTTCTTATTATGGCAAGACGTGTATGTTATTAATGTCTAATGAATTAAACAATAGTTATTTGTTGCTCTTGTTGTTAATTAATGCAATTTCGTTTATAATTAATACAGGCCTTCCCGATTATTATGGAATACTAATATCTCGTCAATTCCTACTTACCGATATAAAAAGTCACATAAAATTTAATTATTATTTATTAAATTATTATTCAAGAAATTATGCAACGTTTAACAAATTTATAAAGTATATTTCATTAAAATTAAACCTTGCTTTTCCGCTAGTAAAGTTTTAAACTTTGATGAATCATAACATTCTGTTTGAGAATTTCATATTTTATATGGAAACAGTAGTCACATTTATTTTATGATCTAAAATAAAACAAATTTTTAATGAATTGTGTAAATAAGCAAATTCTAGTTTTCATAACAAACAAGAATCGATGTTATCACTTATAACAATAACAACGGAAATAACATTGATTATTGAAGTACATTAATAGTAACATAAAAAAAGTTTATAATAAACCATCATGTATTTTTTTGCGAATGAAGCTTTAGCATAATTTCTGATATTGTTATTGATTCTAACGTTTCAAGAGCTTTTTTCTTTAAATAAAGCCGATTGCGATTTTGCTTTCAAATTCTTCTTTCAATATTCCATCAATTTCCTGAAAAAGTAATCTTCTGTTAAAGCGTAAAAATTGTGATATA